TGTCGCTCTTCCCCGCCTGCGCGGGGACAGCGGCACCCTCGCCCCCACCCAGGCGTGGGGACCCTCAGGAAGCGCCGCCCGCACCCGCGCGTCGCGTCCCCGGCTGTCAGAAGGGAGACCCCGCCCCGGGCCGCGCCCCCTGGGGTGGGAGGCCGCGCGGGGACTGTCGCTGCGGCGGGGTCCTCCGCCGTCCCCGAGCACTCCCGGGGCCGTGGTAGTCCGAGTCCGGAGGCGCCCTGGTCACGTCGGCGGGCTGCGGGCCCCCCGGGTAACGGAGGGTGCTGCGTCCGCGCCCCGGGCCGGGTACACTCGGTCGCTTTGCGCCCCAGCACCAGCTCTGAGCTCGCCCTCTGCCGGGTCCCACGGGGGCTCTGAGAGACAGGGGCTCGCGCGGATGGGGTGGTCGCGGGTGGGCACAGCAGCGCCCCTCAGGCTGTGAAGGGTCCCCCCCGCTCCAGGAGGAAGACGAGGCCACTAGAGGGAGCCCCACACTGGAACGAGGAGGGGGAGGCCTTGGGAGGAAGCCGGGACTGGTGGGGGAAGGGGGCGCGATGCCCCTGTGACCCGTCCCCAGCGAGCCAGTGGGGGCATGGGACTGTCCTGCTGCCTGGTCGTGACCATGCCTGGGTGCTGGGCCAGCACAGGGACAGACCCAGTCACTGACTGGAGGCCCCAGAGGTTGGACAGAAGTCGACCTAAGCCAAGGGTCCTGACCCCCATCCCACTCAGCCCTGATGGGCCTTGCTCGGCTGCCCACCGCCTGTGCCTGCAGCCTGGGCCCTCTCTCCTCTGGGCTGGGCTTCCCCAGAGGTAACCTGGGCTCTCTGCTGGATGCCCAGGAAAGGAGGAAGATAGTCTCTACATTGAGGGTTCACCGGGGGACCCACAACCCCCCAGGCTAGACGCAAACGACCAGTCAGAGTAAGAACCAGTGACTCACAGATGCAGGGGTCTGAGGCCCAGCTGCCTTCCAGCTCCCCCTGCCCCATGATCAGCCCAAGTCTTTTCTAAAAGACAGGCTGGTAGCCAGAGGCATGACACTGATGTGGTCAAGCTGGGCACTGCCAGGAGGGGTGGGCTTGTGACCAGAGCTTATGGGAGGGGACTTGTCCAGTGATAGTGCCCACTGGTGGGGCCAGAGGTCATTGGGCTGGAAGGGAGGTGCATCCTCAGGCAAGCCATGCCTCCCCAGCCAAGCCTCCCTCCCCATTTGCCACCACGGCGTCCTTATGGGTGACTGTCAACCTTTCCTGCTGTCGCTTCACTAAGCAGCACTTAGTCGCAGGTCTTAGCAGCCCAGACAACATGCCACTAGGCTTCCTGCTCTCGGTGGCTCCCCCACCTCCACCCTGCATTTCTGCCAAGCTTGCTCCTAGCCAGTGACTGAGCAAGAGGGGAGGAGGTACCAGCGCCAGACCCCCAAAGGCCTGGCCAGGATTTTTTTGAGCTGCCCTGCAGCCTGGGGCTCTTTCTGGCCAACAAGTGTCCTACCGCATCCCGGTCTGAGGGTTTCTTGCTTACTTCCACGGCCTTCCCCTTTATCCTGTTTTGGTGTTTGCTTCTCAGAGGACTGAGCACATGCAGTCTCCCCTCCCCCATGTCCAAACAACCCTCCAAAGAGGGTCCGAAAGTCCTTCACACCAGGAGTAAGAGACGTAGAATTGGCTACAATGTCCCCTCCCCAGGACACTTGCTACTCGGAGGACCCACACTTTCCACTCAGAGGAATGGGGTGATGACTGTGGAACTTCATATGCAGGTGAGGAAAGCATTTGGGGGGTTCTCAAGGCCCAGACTCGACCCCTGAGGAGACAGAGAGTTGTGGAGGCATCCCTGAGGCAAGTGTAAAAGTCAGATGTGGCCTTTATTGTGATGGTGGCAATTCCCTTATAGGAGTGAGTTTGGGGTGTCAGGCGTGGAGGCACAGGCCACCCCACCCCAGGACCGTCTTTACCCCCCTTCCCTGCCCTCAATCAAAACAGAAGCCAAATGTGGCCTCAGCCCAAGACTCCAGCCCAGGGAGGGGTCGAGGGACGAGTGTCAGGGTCAAAAGTCACACAGAGCCCAGTGATTGTCAAGGCAGCTCATTGAAAAGAAGGCTGGAGTAGAGGGCCGAAAGCAGAGAAAGGGCCATGTGGCAGCCCCAGGTGAGGTGGCCCACAGCAGCACAGAGAGGTTTTAGCCCGGGGCCTGGAGTCCTCAGGTCACCATGCAGAACAGATCGCAGCCTGGCTGGGGCTTTGAGTGACACAGTCCAGGGGAGCCCTCAGCAGCAGGCGGCTCCCGGAGGAGGGCTGGGCTGCCAGGCCTGAGGCTGACCCCAGCTCCCCTCAGGCTGAGTCCTGACTGAGCCCCCCTCCATGAGTGTCTTCCACTCTCAGCCTCCGGAGGGCAGAGGCCAGGGGTCCTGAGGGCTTGGTGGACATCAGTGGGATCTTGGCTGGCCAAGGGGAGGCAGGGGAGGGGATGAGTGTTGGCGGAAGGGGTGGTGGCCACGTTGCCGCAGGCAGAGTCCCCAGGAGCCCGCTGCTGCTGGAGAGATTTAGGGTGGTTCCTGGGAGAGGCGTGTGAAGACAGCCTCACTCTGTGCCAGTCCAGACCAAGTTCCAGGAAAGCGGGACCAGCCGCTAGAAGGGGGCCAGGTGAGGCCTTGTGAGGGTCAGGAGGATGTCCTCTGAGGTGGACAGACAGGTGTTGGCAGCGCTGCTGGCCCAGCCAGGAGCTCAGGGTCACTTTACTTGCAGTACTCCTTCCTGAACTCTGGAAGCCAAGGGGACAGGATGCAGTCTACTCTCTGCCCCTCCGTCCCAGTGGGAAACTCAGGGCAGGCATCCACCAGGACTTCCCGGGACTTCTGAGCACCGAGGTGGGGATGGCGCTGTGCCCAGGAGTCTGGGGAGTGGGTGGAGTGGGTGTGGGCTGGGCTCTGAGGTGGGCTTAGGGGTCTCCTTTCCAGCTACTCACCTTTGTCCAGGTCGATGTTCTTAGCAGGCCGGGGGCTGTGGGCCAGCTCGGCCTTCTCCTTCAGGACGTTGTTTTTGTAATCTGCTGCCGGGACAGCAGCGTGAGGCCCCAGACGAGCACCTTCCCATGCCCAGCCTGGGAGCCCCGTCTGTGCCTCGGTGTCCCAACCGCCCTCTCACCTAGGTGGATGTCCTCTCTCCTGCATACAGCCTGGTCCCCCGAGGTCATGGCAAACTCCGCCAAGTTCACTTCCTTCCTGGAACGGGAGGAGGGGAGAGAAGGGGGAGGGGAGGTTGGGGGGGGGACTGGTCCCCAGGAGGGCGGGGAGGGGACACTCACCGGTCTGACTTCGCCGACTTCTTGTGCGCGTATTCGTAGCCTGGGAAGGGAGACTCGTATTGGGGCAGTGTCGCCCCCTGCCCAGCTCCCCGGCCCTGGGGAATCCCCTCCCGCTGGCGTTCGGGCTCGGTGGCCCTGCTCGCCCCTGCCCCCACCTCCGCGGCGGCGCTGTCGCGTGGCCAGGACGACGGTGATGAGCAGCAGGACGAAGAGCAGCAGCGTGGCCAGCACGTAGCCCAGCTGCTGGAAGAACTGGGCCCGGCCCTCGGGGACGATGACGTTGACGACGGTGCGGCCGCGCGCCAGCGTGGGGTCTGCAGGGGCGGGGGCCGCGTCAGGCTCGGGACACAGTGCAGCCCCGGCCCG